GAAAACAAAGCCACAAATCAAAGGAGAAAAAAAAGAAAAAAAAAAAAATAACCCCCGACACCCACGAAGTCGGAGCATTGATAAAAATCCCCAGAAATCGTACACGTTCGCTGCAGGAAAATGGGCTCTCACGAGCCCCCGACCCAACAGCCCGAACGAGCCCTAACCCGCAGCCCTCAACATACATACAACTATAACATGCTGTCCAACACTTCACCCCTCTAACCTCCCTTACTCTTCCCCAGAGTCCAGCATACATGCAATCGATATTAAGATCAACCCTGCAATAACCATAACTAACCTCACCACCCCCCGTCCACAAACACACCGCCAATCAACCGCATACTTCTCCCCACGGAAGTATAATCCAGAATAGAAGAACCCGTAGTAGCACAAACAGCCCTAACACACGAACCACACGCATCCTTACATCCCACCTGCTACTGCACCCTCCTTACGTTGAATGCAAACTCAACCCCCCAGACAAAATACAACACAAACATAGAAAGCGGCAACCAAGGATCCAGGAACCAAAGTAAAAAAAACTGTCAGGTAGGAAGTAGGTGTAACAGGGCAACACATATAACCCCTCCCGCCATGCCTCGCTCACCACTCCTCCACCGGGAGTAAAGTATTATACACATACACATACACACACACGCTGCATAAGTCAGGTAGCCCCATCCTGCAAGAACCCAGCGCACCTCGTCTATCCCTATCTACCACGAATCCCCACCTGGGGTGTGTGTGTCCAGGGAAGAGAAAAGAGAAAAGATCCCCTCGTCACCATCCCCCGCAATCACTATAGTCCGGAAACGGACAATCCCAAACAAATACACAGCGCCCCCATTATTGATAGTCATATAAACCCCTCGATCGGGCCCCTCATCGCCTGTCACTAAGGTGTTCGTTCAGGTCCAGACGAAAATCAGAAGAGGGGGACGGGAAAAAGAAACAATGAGTATCTTCTCTAAGCTATTCAGATCCTGTATCCAGGGTCGACGGAGACAGAGACAGAAACAGAAACATGAGCGGGATACACCGCCGGCTGTGCCGCCTAAGGATCCTGTGCCTTACTCCTGTCCGCCGGGGGTGAACCCGGATTTGGTGAAGAAGCCTTCTATTCGGATTGTGGCGAAGGATGAGGATGATGAGGGGAGACCACGGTCTGGCTGTGGGGGAGGCAGTCATTGGGGGAAGGCAGTTGAGGCGCCGGTGAAGGTGTCTGAGGAGACGTTTGTGGCTGTCGAGGGGGATACTGGGTTTGAAGGTGTGGAGAAAGATGTTAAAGATGAGGAGGAGGGCGACCAGGATGAAGAGAAAGGCGATGCTCAGGTCAAGCAAGACAACGAGCAATTGCACTGCATTCCCGAGAGGCCGCAAAGAAAAAACACCGTTAAAGGACCCGAAGTGAGGAGCCGGATGATCGAAGACATCCCCGAAGAAGCGGACAAAGAAGCTGAATCAAAGGCAAACGAGCACGACGACACAACAATCCCAGCCAAGGATGAACAAGGCATGCCAGCCTGGCGGGTTAGTCGTCGTAAATCTCTCATCGAAATCATCAACCTCCTGCAAGCTACTGCGGCGGCGGCGCCAAAACTATCCAGTATCCGACTCCCCAGCATCCCGCCTAAGTCGCCGCTTCGCACGCGCGGGTCGGCAGCATCGCTTTCTTCTTCTGTGTCCTCGGTCACAATGACGGAAGATGAGCCAACTAATCTGAAGAAGGAACGAAGGATGGCCGCGGTGATGTTTCGCAGTGGTCGGCTTGGGAACCGCAAGTCGGCGGATGAAACGATGATAGCAGCAGCTACGGCTGCGGGTAAGGAGAAGCCTCTTTTTTGCTAAGAATGGCGTTTGGGGTTTGGGGTTTTTGCTTTGGCCGATATCGTGGGGTTTTGTTTCCTTTCTGGGGATGTTTTGGACTGGAAGTTCTTGATATGTATACTATTGGGGGGTTCTTGTACAGGTGATCTTGCCGTTTATGTGGGTGGTGTAAGATACAGACGTGTTCTCTTTTCGTTTCGACGATGTCTTATGTATGATTAGTATTAATTGAAAGTGAGATAATACAGTGGCAATTCGTAGATTTTAAGGATTGTATCGGGAACTTGTACCTGGGCAGACTGTGTGAGCATTACTCAGGAAGTATGTCGAAACGTCAAACTTATGAGGAGCTTTTTTGAAAAGGAAGGAGTTAGAATAGAGCTCTTACTTATAACAACTAAACAAGACGTCGCAACACTCCGCGCTGATAGATAAAAAGGCCATGGAGCCGAAGAAGAGGTGTAGATCATTGTCGAGATTTCGCTCATGACGCACTGCGTCTGTCACGGATCGACTAGACAAGACTCACCACATGAAGGTGATGGAGGATTTGCAGGTGGGAGATAGACTGCTTGACGTCTACTTCTTTTCTATGTGATGAAGATTGATCAGAAGTAGGAAACTACCGGCAACACAGAGGCTGGTGGTGTCAAGAAAGAATTTGAGAGTAAAGGAGAATTTCGGGTTTACAGGGCCACCAGCGGTCTAGGACAAAGGCACGTTCCCAGGAATATTTGCTGTCCGGATGGTCATTAGCACTATAGCGATAAGGGTGTCAAACAAGCAGGGTAAGTAGAAGTGTGAGGACGATAGACTGAGGTACATAAAGCGGAGATATTAAGTTCCATGTTTTAGGGAGTGTTTCAATATTTGATGAACTACAAAGATAGTGGTAGAGAGAGATGGAGTAAATATCAAAGTCTATTTATTAAGCTGGCTAGCCAATGACTATTTCCAGATGCTAGGCTGGAACACAAGGCTGCACAGGAAGATGAGAAAGCAAACAGAACAGTCTTTCCGCTCCGAGGGTTACACGACACGAGATGGCAGTACAATACACTGAAAAGGACACTATGGAGACATTTCATGGGCATACTCCATCCCGCATTCCTCGGACTACCAGTTCGGCGAGGGCAATCACTTAGAGGAGAGAGCCAATAGCGATGCAAGGAAGACCAAGACCAATGACGCTTCCATCCTGCGAAGGTTAGTAAGAATCCAAGATACAAACTCTATAGTGGTACTTACGGCGCTGGACTTGGTGTTCTGGCAGCAAGAGATGGGCTGCTTGCACTGTTCCTGCTGCTGGATAATGGGGACTGGTAGATGTTAGTCTAACTCTGGCTATGGTTCATGTTGCTGAATACTCACTAGCGAGGACATCGACAGGGATGTTGGTGCACTCATCCAAGAGACCAAGACCCTGGCCCTGCTTGCCATTGAGCAGGTCGATGAGGTTGTTCAGGATACCAGACTCGGCCTGGGTGAAGTCGCCAGACTTGACGGACTTGTTGCAGCACTTCATCGTAGCATTGTCACCACACTTGTCAGAGGCCTGCTTCACGGTCATGTCCTTGGGAAGAGGGAACTGGTTCTTGGCGTTGCCAACTTCCTGGCCAGCGCCAGTGCCAGAAGCAGGAGGAAGAGCGGCAACGGCAGTAGCCAGAGCGAGAACAGCGGCAACGGAGAACTGCATTGTGACGGTGGGTTTGGTTTTGAACGAGAGTATACTCGGAGAAGCTTGTAAGCGAGAGAAGCTTGTCTGGAAGACTGAACTGTGAAGAGAGAATGAGAGTGAATTGATTGTGTTGATGAAGAACAGATTTGGGCGATGAAGACGACTCCTTATATAGACAAATCTGGTGGTCTGTGAGCTACCTTGGAGGCCCTACTTTACACTCCCAGTATGTTTTCGAAGTGGAATGATGCCTGGTCGCCACTCCTCCAGGAATGCAATAGGCAAGGAATGGTCGTCCATGTCACTGCTCTCCCTACAGTAAAGCAGATCCTTGGGCCCCGCAGACGTCTGCGCCAGCCAACGGTATGGATCTACCAGGATACCTGCCCAGCAGCATACCATAACCGTTCAGAACTGCCTGTGTTGCACACAAGACTGTCTCATTCCTCCTGTCTTCACCTGTCGATCGCTCTGCAACCCGTCGATCCCCCTCGAGAACCCAACGTTCACGTTACATGAAGTTAGACTTTGAATTAGGAAAATATGTTGACCAATGACACATGACATTGGCACAAGTGAACTTGGGCGAGATCGGACACTCACACTACCTGTTAACTTTCGTCTCATGACCAAGTGCTGGTTTGCCTCATGCCGTAAGCCCATAGCTATCTTCTGATGGCGCTCGTGCGGTATGCAGCATCCACCCCGGAGACCAAGCCACTGATAGCGAGTAAAGTTGCAGGGCGTTTGCAGAGTATGGTCTGGGCGCCACAGATCTTCGTATTCATTGGTTCTCTTTTTCGGGGTCCCCGTCTCACCAATTCCTCAACTCCCATGTGGAGATGGGACACAGGCAAGGGGTGGCTACACTAGTTTCTGTCTAATTTCCGCACGCAGGGAGCTTCTGTGACCTCCGTCACTTGTTCCAATATAGGCCGGTCGACTGTTAGGTGCTCTAATACCGCACAGTTCAAGTTCATTTTTCCTGTCTTCCGTTTCGCCTTGCTAGGGATTGAGCCGGGTTGAGCCGATCCGACAATGTTCGATGACCCACAACCTAGCCATGGACCACGTACTGCCCCTCAGGCACACATCTCAGGATTAGTAAAAGAATCTGACTGGAATGTTTCCTTCAGCTCTGATGTCACCAAGTTGAGTGCACGCGTTTGGTAAGAGCTGATCAATTACTGGGACTGTGTATGTAACGGTAGACTTTGCTGGCTTTGGGTCTCTTACTGGCCAATAAACATGTCTGGGATTTCAGTACCTGAGGCAACGTATGCATTTTGAGTAGGCATTTCGACTCTACTGGTAGGACTCGGTAGTATAGTGCCCAAATCATGGGACAGTAAGACTATGAGTCTATGACTTGTTAGAACAGCTATTATGACGAAAAGACTGTAGAGTTGATGTAAGAAGTGTATGAATTGCGATGCTATTTAGTATAATCATATATTCAAATCCAGAGTATGGTATATAGACTGATTGCGCAGTAATGATAGTGGTATGAAAATATATATAAATATACGATGGATATCTGGGAGTATACGATATGGTGTAGTATGACTATGTAGACTAATCCTTTACAAAAAAAACCAAAATTTTAACTATTTATTCTTCTTTTCTCAAAGAACTAGACTAGATTATTGCGAAATAATTTCTACCATATATCGTTGTAAACGTAAAGGTGCTACTGAAAGTGTTGTTGATACTTCGGATAGAACTAGACGGACTATAAAGTGACCATGCATAAAATAACTTACATAGTGCTATTTTACCACAGTAGAAACGGAACCAGATACCTGGTGTAATTGGTAAGAAGTAGTATACTATTTTATGGACTGAATTATCCATCAGTCTGCCTGTATGTCGTATCTCATCTACTCAATACCAAATCTATCTTCCAAGTTCCTATACCTTATCCAACATTAACCATCCACCGACAATAACCAAGACACCAACAAGGCCCGTGAACCTCCCTGCATAGGCTAATATTGTCTCGCAGAACCTACCCGCTATAGTGCATTAATGCAAGATTAAACTCAACTAGAAGAACAACACCAGTAGCCCCGAATAAACTCCGCCCAGACCGCTCTCCCAGCTTACGTTCCCTGTTTCAAGCCAAGAATAAAAATCACTATGGTTACAAAGTTCCAACTGGGTTACAACTTTTCACCGACATTGCGAACCAAGCTGTGATGCTCTTATTGAGTTACATCTTTACGAGCTTAATGGTGCCAGAATCCATCCCTTGACTGCCCCGATCCAGAACGGCTGCCAACCACAGGGATGACCGCCAACTTCCAAGGAGGGCAAATCCCGCGTTCGTATTCCAGGGGGAAATATGATCCGCATTCTAGGACAAAGTATGAACCCATGCGTCGGACATGAAATCGGACTTCTTCGGTTTGTTTTGATCGATTGAGCGGCGGGTTTTGGTCTATCTTGGTTTCGGGGTCAACTCCCTCCCTCGCCCACCGTGTTCAGAATAATACTTTGTACCGTTACATTTGTTGAGCTGGGTGGTGAGCGCGGCCCTTGTGGTGAGTGGTGCAGGGTAGTTGGGACATGGGATATCTAGGTTGACTCAGGCAGGAATTCTTTGCCTGTTGTTGGATGGCCTTCGGCCGGTCTGATACATGTGAGATCTGCCATGAAAACGTTTACTCAAGGAGATATGTAGTATATTATGAATGAAATAGCTTTGCTAGAACTATCTCTATATTTGGTTTAGGGGCGTGTACATTAATATTTCCCTTTGGCTTCTTTGTCTTTGGTTGGGCTTGAATCTTGACTAGGACCGATAGTACATCTTATAGCTACAGTAGCATAGGGAGGCGTATATATATTAAGTCACATAATAAATTAGATCAAAACATTAGCCATTGATTTCAAAGTTGATTATCCACGTTAGAGATACATAAATCAGATTATTATATTCGTTGTTGTTCCAGTTCAGGTCGTGAACTCTATTTTCCCAGTGTTCTATACAAATCCAAACCAGACTTGTATAGTAAATCCCACACCACCACTGCCACCCGTAGAAGCCACAGAAGCCACAGAAGCTTAGCAAATGCTTGAAATGTCCTCATTCAATAGGTAATAAATAGCTCCTACCATATTAGTGGTGGCAGCGATCCAATGTAGCACCGAACCGCCTGACAGGCGTCAACGCAATGGCAGGAAACGGCTTTCCCCAGGACGGCGGGTAGACTCAAAATGCCATGCGATGAGGTGACATTGACAACTTGACACCTGTCTAGGCCGGATATATCATCCAACCCGTCAAAACCAACTCCCAATACTACCTTACTTTGGCCCCGAGAAAAAAGTTTTATGTATCCCAGACCCCCACAAAAACCCACTCCACGAATTTAGAAGTAGCTTGTATAATGGCAACCCACCCGATCTACCTGATCGCCGAAAGCGGCCTCCCGCGCGACCACCACGCCCTCTTCGTCGAGACTCACGAGAACGGCCCCTCCACCGGCCATATCTACCACGTCAAAGGCAACATCCAAGAAGGCATGATCTTCGAGCACCGTGCTGAGCTGCCGCCGGAGGAAATCCCGGGGTTCTGTGGCAAGGAGAAGCTGGGTGTGGTCGCGGTTGCGGAGTACGGACGCGTCTTGGGGATCTGTGAGGGTGTGTCGGTGCCCAAGAAGCAGTTCCAAGGGGCGAGGAGGTTGTATCCGCGGGAGCCGTTGAGACGATGTCAGGAGTGGGTTGCTGAGGCTGTTGATGCTTTGAGAGGGGAGGGAGTCTTGGTTGCGAGTGACTAATAGCTTAGTGGCCTGTTTTGTTTATATTGGGGGGGGGGTAGTGTGGTTAGGGATGCATCTGTTTTGTTTTGTTAGTATTGCTGGATTGAGCTGAATCATTGTGCTTGATTTTGTTCTTGAGAAATGAAAATCAGATGTAGATACTATGATCATGATGCTCATCTTCGATTCGATATCTTGGGGGAAGATGTTGACTAGTCCCGAATTGGTTAGTGTGATCGCGATAGGGCGTCCGCATAATTCAATTCAATCATTCACCCTACCCGCCGTATCCTCTGCACTTCTGCCACGGCTCTGACGCACCCTCTCGAGGGAACAAGAAGTGCTAATCAAAATGTCCGAAACGCCCTCCAAGCACACAGCTGACAATCCGTCAGAATACCCGTCGGAGGGGCGAAATGACCCAGTGAACCAGGAAGGAAACAGCCCAGGTGGAGACCAGACAGAGACACAAGCACAGGCACCAAATAGGCCCAAGGAGGATACAAGGGAGGAAAAAGGCAAAGAGCGCGAGGGAAGTGATGAAGTAAATAAAGGAGATGCCTCCGAGCCGGAGGAAGGTCAAGAGGAGGAAGGAGAAGCTTCAGCGCCACCATTGCCAGATGAGGTTCCACCACCGCTTCCCAACGAAGCTCCTCCTGGTGATGACGATGGGTGGGAACCTGTCTGGGATGCCAACGTTGGAGCGTACTACTTCTATAATCGTTACACAGGCGTGTCGCAGTGGGACAACCCGCGCGTGCCGGAGGCCGCGGCGGCGGCGCCAGCCCCAGCAGGTCCTCCTGGCGTAGAGGCCAGCGCTCCGTCCACGGAGAAGGCCGCGCCCGTGGTAGGTGGCTATAACCCTGCGATCCACGGTGACTACGATCCGACGGCGCCGTACGCCCAGCAGTATGAGCAGCCGCCCGAGGATACATCTGCCGTGGCTCCCGGTACGGATCACTACGCGGCGGTTGGCGCGTTCAACCGGTTCACCGGGCGATGGCAGGATGCATCACAGAACCCCGAGAACCATAATGACCAGAACAAATCCTACCGGCAGATGAATGCCTTCTTTGATGTGGACGCTGCGGCCAATAGCCATGATGGAAGGAGCCTGCGGGCAGAGCGGAGCGCTAAAAAGCTCACTAAAAAGGAACTGAAAATGTTCAAGGAGAAACGGAGAGAGAAGAAGGAGGAAAAGCGAAGGGCATGGCTACGCGATTGACCGGATTCAATCCACAGGTGATGTCTTGTCATTGAGATACCTTTTGTTTTATACGGGTGGGCTTGGGCGTTTGTACTGTAGTTCATGGGTCGCATATGATAGAGCAGCGTCTACTTTCATTTCTTACAATAAATGTAACATATTCATCTGCTCCATCTCTCGGGTAACTGCTCACTGAGCTCTATACAGAGTAAATCAAGATGAGAGTAATTTAGATATGAAATGCCGACGAATGATCCACTAGATCACATGACCCGACATCAAAGTTCTCAGCAACCATCCGATGCTTCACAAAATTGAGTATAGCACCCTCGAAATATATAATCAAGGTATGTGGATTTCTTATTCTGAATGCACTGTACCATATATACCCTAAGACCCCCGTGTAAACACTGCATTCCATGCCTCTGATATGCATATGCGGGGTGTTGAAGACTGAGGGGTTGATATACTATCACAAAAAAAAAAAAAAAAAAAAAGACAAAAAGCCGGCGACAAGATAGAGGATGGAAACGTTACAAAACGTGCAAGCCGCATATTGGCCTTGAAATCGGATTTCTGTCATTTCTACCCTTTAATCTTCTTTTTCATACCTTTTATAAAATTTTTGACATGCCATCTATTGCGCATAAAGTCTATATAAAACCTCTATAGCATGATGCATCTACCACCCCACCATCACCAAAACCACACCATGGCTAAAAGAAACACCACTAACAAACTCACCCAGATACCCCAAAGCACACAATCCAAGCGTCGCCCAGACCTTGAACAAATCACCACAACCACGTGATCTCAAAGGTGCCAAAAGGCAAAGACAGAGGCAAAAATGGCCACCAAGACCCCCATCACATTAACCGTTGAGGCAATCGACGACCTCATCTACGACGCCCGCGCCGGCGATCTCGATGCCCTCAAGTCCGACCTGGCGGCCCTGAGCACCCAGCACAGCTGCCCGCAGGCCTGGATTGTGGCGTCGGCGATCGACTCCGAGCCTGAAGAGGAGGGTGGTACTGGATCGTGCCTTTTGCATTTTCCTGCTGCGAATGGGAATGAGCGTACGT